GTGAGACGGTATTATTAGACTAAATCCTTATATGTTGATTATATTGTCTAAACAAGAAGTCTATGTAAGTCAATGAGTCTAATTAAACTCTATAAGTAATATTTGCGAGGTCTATGTAAACCTCAATATACAAAAGTTCTATTTGTTGCATTTTTACCGATGATATGTTATAACGATTGCTAAGAGGCTAGTCTTAGTCCTCTCCAAGGACGATGACGTCGGTTACGTCTAGGGGGTGCTCCCCGGTTGTAAGAATTATACTATATTGCAAAGCTTAAGAGATTACTTGTCGTAAACCAATCAATTATTCACTCCAATAGTTGAGTCTTCCACTTCCAAATCACTTCTGAAGCCACAAAATCTATATACAAACAAGTATTCACAATAAATTTCAGGAAATAACAATACCCACATCAATTTCCTTTTTTTAAAAAATGGGCAACAACTCAAAATCAGATTTCAAAAAGAAGGTTTGAATCACAAGTTTAATACTTAAAAATCATGTTCAAGGCCTTATGAACTCATTGGTGAAGACCATTTCGCAATAGGGACGAAAATTAGTTTATAACTTTCATATCTGTTTAAAACCTGAGTTATTGAAAAACCTTATCATTTACCAATCAAAATCTCATATGTAGATGTTAAAATCCATAAATAATCAAAGGGAAATGAAGTTTTAGGATCGTAAATGTTTACCCAAATAATTTAGTACGAGAAATCCTTTCAAAGATCGCAACCAAGGATTTCCCAAACTCAAAAATGAACAATGGGTCTTAAACCCCAAAATTTGCAGGTTTAAGCCCCTTTTGATGTCGCTTTTGTGAACTAGGTTACTCTTCAACAAACCCCGCAAAAGTTAGAGGTCTCTTTTTCGCAACCCTGCCCAAAAGGTCAGTCTTGCTTTTTAGAATCAGGTTCGACTTAAGCGACCATCGCTAAAGCGAGACCCCTCTCCCCCCCCCCCCTCACAAGGCCAATCTAGCTCACTTTTGCGAACCAAGTTCTGCTTAAGCGAGGACTGCAACACCAAAAACATCAGCCAATAAAAAACATCGAAAAGATTTTTGTAATTTGTTCAGAACCCATAAACACAAACCACATATGCAAATTTTTTATGCTCAATGTTCCGAACTCGATGGACTATCGAAACACGAATTTGAGATCTCCTTGACCCGACATCCGTGAAAATCACAAGAAACTAACATAATGCTTAAAAGGCTAAAAACAAGCTCTGGACCTCTTAAAAATCAACCAAGACCTCACCTAAGCCTTAATCATCCCCTAATCTAATGGAACTCTCCTAATCCTGATTCAAGCATCTGAACCCCGAATTTTAACAAAAGTCAACCTAAAGGCTAAAATCTCAATAATTTCAACACATAGGACCTCAAATTCTCAAAGTGACTCCCAATCTGAAAGTAATAACTTTACTAGACCATATTTTGTATTACATGATCATAAAATCAACAGACTTCCATTTTGATACTCGAAACTCCAAAAGACTCCAAAAAACATTTTAAGGCAAATTTAGCCTTTCAAAATCAGATTTTACTAGATTATCAATTTTTTTCCTCAAAGAAGAGAAAACAACTTTAGAACTCAAACATAAGAGACTTGGGGTCGATATCGAGAGGGCAAAAGTAATTCTACAAGGATTACCAAAAAAATTACCGATCTATCATGAATATGACTCTTAATTATTTAGAGGTTATATAATGAAAATTCATAAGAATAATGAAAAGAAAGACCATAAACTTTACATTAGAGAAAATTTAAAAGTGACATTTTTGCAATTTCACACTAAGTTTTTGATATAAATTTTGCTTAACTTGAATTTCTTGTCAAGTCCTTACGATAAAATTCAAGTAACAAGAAGAACGACTTACATGTAAATAAAATTTGATTTAGCTATGCTATTTGGTATATTCCATCTTTTGCTAAACCAATGTGCCAAATCTAGAGAAGTTATCAATTTAGCTATACTATTTGGTATATTCCATCTTTTTTTCTTCTTTTTTTCGGGGGGAGGGGTGAGGGGGCGGGGTGAAGTGGTAAGTAGAATATTTTGGTTAAATATCATTCAAATAAAATTGATACTCTATTGGATTTACTTTGATTTTGAATTTTTAAAAATTAATAATATTTAATGTGATAAAAATAAATCAAATCGACAAATTATATTATAAATTAAATTGAAATTAAAATAAATAAACAACTATGAACTTTGCTTATTTTTTAAAATATCTTTTATAAACTTTATTCACCTGATTAAAACTTACAGTTCTCAAGATCAAGATAATCATAACCCTCATTTAATAAAAATTGATAGTAAAGGATTATAAATTAGCATAAAATGAAATATCCTTTTCAATTGTAGAAAAATAGAAGAAGAGAGAAATACCATAAAAATTTTGAATCAAATCAAATTTATAAATATTTTAATTATATTTATATTTTATAATTAAAAAGTTAATAAAAATTTATTTCAAATCAAATCACGAATCGAATAAAAATAATGATTGAGTTAGGGATGAAGAAAGAAAAGGTAGGCGTGGAGAAAGATAGAGCATAGAGTTTAGTAAGTGGTATAAGAAAGAGGTTCGTGGCTTTCAAACTTGCCAAGGGAACAATATAACACCTACACACTTTTTGACTCATTTTAGAGCTTTTCCATGTTATTATGTCCATTTTTTCATGCCAACTCAGCTGATTCTTTTATTATATTTTAATATTTATATTCTTAAAATTAATTTAATCTAAATCTTTCTAGTATATAATATAACAAAATAAATAGAAATATTACTCATGTACTCTACTCGAAGAATTGAAAGAATGTGTAATGAAAAGAACACAAATTTGAGGAGAAATGAGTCCCTTTAAAATGGACATTTTTTAATGCTATCAATTAAAAGGGACGCTCTTTATAAATATAGATCAAAACAGATATTTCGCCTATTTGTGGGGGCAATATAAGATAAATAAAAAGTTAACTTTCAATAGTTCACTCCAAAGCTTAAAATATATAACAAAAATTTTAAAGGTAGTTCATTCAAAATATCTTCAAATTTTTTGTGATGTTTTTTGAGTTTTGAATTGAACTAACGAAAGTTAACTTTATTTATCATATATTGCCCCCACAAATGGGCGAAAGGTATGTTTTGATCTCTTTTTTAGTGAGAGACCCTCTAGATATGTAGTGTTCAAAAAGTATCTGTCTCGAGGTCAGACCATCTATGTTGTTATTGCTTCTAATAAAAATCCATAGTTTGTACATTCATTAATTTCTAGTTATACGTGTATTTCGTATTAATAAGTACATTTTCATATATATTATTAAATAATGTTTTTATATATGAAATAAAATCGAATATGTATGGGTTTTTTTGCGGAAAAGGGCCTAAAATACCTTCAAAGTATTGAAAATGGTACAAAATTACCTTCCATCCACCTATTGGCTCCAAAATACCCTTTTCACCCAACTATTGGCTCCAAAATACCCTTGTCATTCACCTTTGGGTTCAAAATAGACCATTTATTTAACGGTTTCAAATTTAAACTATTTAAATATTGGTGCTCAACTATTGGATAAAATTTTATTTATTAATATAATTATAAATCAACTCACTACCCACCTATTACTAATTAAGTTCCACCCAATTAATATATCATTTCTAATATCAAAATCGTCTTAAACACTACTAAAGCACAAAGAAATTACTGATTCGTGAAAATGACATTCAAAATTATTTGAGTCTGAATTGAAACCCCAATTAAATTTAGATTGAGCCGTTTATTTAGGAGGACACTTCCAATAGGATTCTTTTTCAAGTTTGAATTTGAAATTTATAATTAAAGGTAAAGAAGTAGCACCTCTCGAATTAATTCATGCACTTTTTTAAATATAATTTTATAGATATTTATTCTTTATTTTAAATATTAAAATTTTAATATATTATTTTTTTAAAAAAAAATTATCTATTAAGTAACATCACATAATTGGGATGAATGAATAATTAAGATGAACATAGTCAGACTTTTAAGTTTGTCGGTAATTTTTGTTTAGACACTTGAATTATAATATGTTTTTGACTGAGGACTTGAATGTATGATAATGTACTTTTATAGGTATTTTCGTCTTAAATTTTTAGAAACATTCATTGGTAGTAGTTTTTCTGTTGTGCATGAGTAATGGGGCGGGTTTTTTTGAACTCATAGGTGGATGAGAAGGGTATTTTGGAGTCAATAGCTGGATGAGGAAGATATTTTGAAGTCAATAGGTGGTTGGGGTAATTTTGTACTATTTCTGATACTTTAAGGTATTTTAGGCCCTATTTCTTTATTGTTTCTAATAAAAATCCATAGTGTGTACAACCGATTTCTAGTTACACGTGTATCTTGTATTAATAAGTATATTTTCATTTGTATTATTAAATAATGTTTTTATATATGATATGAACTCGAATATGTATGGTTTTTTTTGGTAATTGTTCTAAACTTGTCTGCATATTTTTTTCACGTTACGAGTTTCACAAGTTTTCATAAGTAGTACACTTAACCTTTTTTAATTGAAAAACTTCTTTTAATTTTTTATTATATTTTTCGTTTTCAGACTATCTAACTACACAAATATATGTCATATATAATAATTCAATTTATAATCACAGATTAATTATAACCAAATTCAAATTAAATTTATATATTTGATACTAGATTCATGCATATATATATATATATATGATACTCGATTCATGCATATATCAATTCAAATCAACATGCTTTGAATTAAATAAAATATGAAAAATATTTTATTTTGTTACCAAATCCAAAGACACATGAAATTTATAGATATTTGTGTGCGTGCCAATTTGTCTGTCTGCCCATACATACAAGATATTTTTGAAAAATCTAAAAAAAGGTATGATACTTTTGCTCGTATCAAATTATAATTATTTCTCTTTTTAAAATAACAAACCTTTTTCATTTAATTAATAAAAAATATAAAAATATATGGATAGGATGCCAAACACCGATGCTTTTGCTCCTATGAAACACAAAAAAACAAAATGATTAGAAATGCTAATTGGATGGCTATATGTATCCTTCTAACTAACATTTATTTTCTCTCTCTTTCCTGTACACAAATGGCCAGTTTATAGTTCAATTTCTTTGAATTTTGCCAAGAGCAGAGGTGAGTTCACTTTCAAGTATATTTAATTCTGGTTTTATCTAAGTACAAATTCAGTCTATGATTTTGGTATTTACAGAAGTGGCAGAAATTGTTGAGTAATTCTTTATAAGTTTAATCTGTTTTGAATCATTGAGCCAAATCATGATTTTGGTCCTGATGTAACTAGTAGCGGAGCTTAGATTTTTACTAAAAGGGTGAAAAGATAAAGAACTGCACTTGTTATGGAGTAGAAATTGTTTCTCGTATTTGGTTCGATAAAATTTTTGAAAAATATTTTTGTAGTTGCTCAAAAATGACTTGCTTAATAAAGACTTTGAACTTTTTTGTATTACCATCCACAAAAACTACCATATTGAATCCATAATTTAGAGACAATGAGGATAGGCACTTCTTTGGACACTGTAGCAAAATTGACTGGACATTATCCTCGCATTTCTAAATTATGGAAGATTTTATTACGAGATAATTTTCAATTTTCTCATGTTTGATTGGCCAAATGTTGTGGAGAACATATTCTCTAGGAAAACAAGTTCCTTGAAAAATAGCAAGTGTATCTCAATTACACTATTGGAAATGGTACCATTACTTGCCCGTTTGACCCTTTCAGTTTAATCTCAAGTAATAGTAAGTGTTGTCTGAATTTTGACCATTTGGTATTGCTGGTATCTTGCAGGTGAGTGGAATGGACCTAAATATACCTGCTCTAGAAGCACTTGACTGTCTCGACAAAGAAGTTGGACATAAATTGCCTGACTTAAACTTGGAGCTTCCATCTTTGACGGATAAGTTGGAACCAACTTCTTCCACAACTCATAGTTTGGATTTGAGATTGTTCCTTGGCCATAATGAGCAGCCAAGTCCTTTGAAAGCTGATTTTTCCCTTGCGACCCTGCTCGAAGACAAGCCTGGTAGCAGATGGGTCAAGCGCCTGAAATTGAGTGCTTCATCTAATGTGAAAGCAAACAAGTCCCATCGCAAAAATTCTAAAGTTACCATAACAGGCTCAGTACTCACAGCTGGTAAACTTCATTGTGAAGAATTGATGGATCATGATAGAACTCTGGCCTTAGCAAGGAACTCGGACTCTTCTCCTATGTATGTTATGAAGAAACAACATGAGTTGTTGACTTCACTGTCTTGGGTTCAAAGGTGGCTTCATAAGAGATCAGCCACTGCACAAAATAGGCCTAAGTCAGTGGTGGTTTGTGAGCCTTGTGACTCAAAGTCGGAACTTGGTGATTTCCAAAAGAAGCAGGTGCCAAGCATTGCTGCCATGGCGCTCATGGGAAAGGCAATAACCGGTTTTCAACCATGTGAATTCCAAATAAGAGGCCCCTGTCTAGTTTGGAATACCGTAGTTTCTGAAATAAGTAGCAGCAACAGTTACTTTGCTTCAGGTTAGTCCTCCAGACATTGCTGATTACCTTGTTGGTCAGTGAATGCATGATGAGGAGAAGAGTGCTCTGGCTTAATAAGTGATCATGCAATCAATTGCATTTTGGAGCGCAGTGTCGATTTTGATGGTGCTAGTAAGTACATAGCTTGTTTTAGATTTGGCTTCTTGTGTTTGCTTAGATAGGATTAGCTTTGTATCTAACCACTATGATGAGAATGCCAGACACCTTGTTTCTTGAACAGGCCAATCATCTGGCTGCTTTCGTCAATGCGTGAGAGGGATCTAGATGCTGCTGGCTGCTGCAGTAAGTTCTAAAGCAGTTTGGTATTTTATATTTGCCTAGCAGGCGATGAGATCACTGTACATGTTTGTAGTAGTGGCTGAGATTCAGTTCATTGGACAGTTGAACCATGCGATCTTTACTTTGTTGTTGAAGACACTGTGACTTCCTCCTCCTTTCACCTCGTAGAAAGGTCTTCCTCGATTAACAATTAACCAATAATGAGCTAAATGTGTTACATTCCTAGCCTATTCCGGTGTTTGGCTGGGTGGAGCTACGAGTCGGTTGGATTATTAGTTTTTGGTTTCGAGTTCTTGATTATAATCTGTGATGTAGTGTATTTAGGTGACTGCACCTTGTTCATTTTACAGTTTCTTGCATCATGTCCTGCACAACTTTGCTATTAGCTGTTATGGTTTTCTTTGATTTGTTTAAGCCAAGGTCTTTCAGAAATAATCCCCTCTATCTCTAAAAGGACTGTGTACACTACACCCTCACCACCTTAAGGGATTTCACTGGGTTTGTTTTTATTATTGATGTTTTGGCGTCATCTGCATGCTGACTTTACTGTAGTCAGTCTTCTTCTTGGACACCCTGAGTTTCAACGAGAAGTGTGTTACTAAGAACGTTACTGGAATGTCTCTAGACCTGATACAGTCCATCTTATTTGCGATGTCTATTTTTCCTAAGCAATCTTAGGCTGTGTAGTAATATTCTATTCCCATCATTACAGCATCCTACGACTCAGGTCTTTGTCATCCATTTTGTACAAGAAACAAACGAGTGCAAAGTTGCAGCATATTGTTCATCAACGCATTCAGAAAAATAAAACTCGGAGAGTTAAGTCTTAACAATATAGAGACCTTCAGTGCAAATGTCAAATGCTTTTTGGTTAAAAATTACCCATGGGGCATTGTTCGATTCACCCACTACACACTCTTTAGAGGATCTCTGTGCATGAGATAATTAAAAGAAAGCTGTGCGCCTCCTGGCCTATGAACATTCCAAGGCTCAACACTGAAATCGACTCAACAGCTACCATATCAATGAAAAGCATACCGTAGACCATTTCATTACTCGGTCTCAGGGGAGGGAACTCATTTGGACTTCTAGACACCCAAGGGAAGAGCATCTAGTTTCAACATCAAAACACAAGTAGAGATAAATAACTCAATTAAATAGCCAGCATAGTCAAAACAGCAACTGCGATCAAAACTATTGCTCAAAATAGCTGTTTAGCTAATATGTTCTGATATTTTCCAAAATAAGCTTAGAAATTTCTAAAACAAGTAGTAGCCCCTGCAAGAGCTAGGTAAACAAATGAATTAACGCATATTAAGTGTTGGTAGCCCTGGTGTAGATCTGCTGGCTTGCATGAGCAGATACCATCCTGATTGAACCTCTAGCCATCAAATCTCTAATTGCCTTCCTAGCAAGTGATCCACTAATCTGGACATTCATTCAAATCCAACATTAGCAAAATTACAATGACATATTAGCATACAAACAAATGTGATGTGACTCAAAATTGCTGCCAATGCAAATCAAATACTGATAAAATTATCATAATCAAACAACTTTTTAATCAAAGTTTAGCATCATGATATTCATGAGCATAAGCATAACGAGACAACTACACTCGACAACAAGAACAGATCATTAAATATTAGTTCATCCTTCTATTAAGGCTTTGATGGTTCTCCTAATTTTGACACATCATACAGCCAAACAAACACAGGCAAAATGGCAACCACCATCACACACAACGCCCTCAAAAAAACATCCATAAGCCTCAACTAAATACTTGTAAACCAGACACAAGAAAAATGCTACATCAGATGAACAGGTGATACTGGTGGAATCCATCATGATACTGATTGGGACTCTAGAATCCACGTGGAGGAAGTGCAAATAACAAAGCAATTACAGAAATCCAACATCAAATTGTCATGTTAACTACTTACCCTGTCCCGATACTTGTGCAGGAGTTTGGTATATGACAGTAAAGACACTTGATTTTGACTCGGTTATAGATTCTTCAAATATTGAAATAAATTTTACATATTTGAAGACATATGAAAAGTAATGCAAGTCAAAATAACTAAGAAATTTAAGAAGATTGAGAAAACTATAGTCAATGAAAACTTGTTAGACTCCCATAATAGCAAGACCTTCAGATACAAGGGGACAGAGGAATGGATGGAGTGTTCATTGGAGAAGCATCAAAATTACCACTTTACAATTTCTAAGACAATAGTTTACACTACTATTAACATACCATCTTTTAAGCTAATATCAAATATAATAGAATCATTGATAAAACAATAAACTTTACATACATTTCTCAAGAGAACAATTTCACGCTAATATTAAGGTCCAAATAATTCTCAGGAATCGATGTAGCACAAGGGCAGCTACCTTTACACACAAGGAATAATTAAGAAATATAATGTATATGTGGGCTAAGATCACACCATGGACACAAGCATTAGTGTGTGCTGTAAGACTCCAGATCACAAACCTAAAATCTACTCTAATAGAGAAGATACATAAACACGATCATCGATCTAGTGTGGATTTGACAATATTCCATAGTAAAACAGATACTCAAATCAATCATCGGAAAAGTAAAAATTGAAATTAAAGAAAAAAAACAATACCCTGAGACGATCGGAGAGGACAGAAGGAGTGATAAGCTTATACTTAGGAGCTTCAGAGAGTAGCTTATCGTATGTAGACTTGTCAAACAACACCATGTTGTTCACCTTTTCCTTTTGCTTTCCCTTGCTCCACTTCTGCATTCATGTATAACAAATCTACATAAGTACCTTCAAAATTCTCATCGGATAACCAAAACTGTATTATTAAGCGAATCAGTAGAAAGTAATGACCTTCTTCTTCTGCTTTCCACCGCCGGACTTTGCTGGCTTGGAAGATGGAGGTGGAGCTTGTGCCTTCTTTGGAGCCTACAGAGAATACCAAAATTCAGATATTGAAAAACAAAGTTACATAGAATTAACAGTATTGACGATGATTACTCGGCTTACCATTGATCGGAGAACGATGAACGGAGGAGAGCGGCGGAGTTAGTGGCAGAAATGTGATGGGGAATATGGAAAACCTAATGGGGATTTGTAGTAGGGCTTTTATTTGGCTCAAGATGCGGAATGTTAGATAACTGGGCTTCCTAATGGGCCATTGTAACTCAATCTACATGTTTGTATGTGGTTACTCATGCAAACTCTTTGAGGAGTCAAATTTCATAAAAGTTCATTACTTTAAAAATATTTGTAAAAATATTATTATTTTGAAAAATAATATATATTCTAATTAAATTTCTATTTTATCTTCTATTGCCTACATGTTTTTCAATTAATTTTATAAAAAGAAATTACTTTATTTAGTTTTCCCATGTATATCTCATTCATACATGTTACCCAACTATTATTACTTTTTTAAAAATAAAAATCTTAATTTTCATTTATTCATGTTTCCTACATATCTCTCTTCCAATTTGGCTCATATATAAAAATAAAAGAAAATAGCTTTTCTCGCTCTTTCATATTTTCTATTTCATATTCTCATTCAACTTTAAAATTTCTCATATCTCTCTATCGTAATTTTTGGTGTTTTTTATCTTTAGAAATTGAATTCACACAAATCTCATTAATTAAGGTATTCTTCTTTATCTTTTTTTGTTAAATTTATTTTCTGATTTTATTTTCATCTAAATCATTCTTAATTGTTGAAAGTAGAATAAATCTCTATTAGACCTCTATAACAATCTTCAATGGATGAATGTAAGAGACTTACAGAGTTATTCAACTTAATCGTCAATTTTCTAGTGATTTTTCATCCTTTAATCTATGTATTATTCAAGAAATAGCAGATAATGTAGGATCCACTTCTAAAATGAGGGGAAAAGAGACGATCAGAACAAATTCTTCCTCAAATTCAGATAAAAAATGTAGTATCTTGATCTACTCATGGAGTACTTAAAAAAGACGGAGAAAATCAAATAGTTGATGAAGAGGTATTTAATTATTTTTGCATGTTTAGTATTTTCCATAATGAGTTAAAGTTAAAGAACAATTCTTTTTTCAACAATGTAGTTTGATTTTATTTTTCTTATGTATCCAAAATCAATTTAGTATGTGTATTGAATATATTTACAAATTTCTTATGTAGACCTTGCAATTTTTGTTAGTTTGTATTTGTATTCCTTTTTTATTTCATTGTATTTTGGCGACAATTATTGTTTTTTTAATAATGTATCAAATTTTTAATCATTCCTTTATTTATTTTTTACATTGATAGATATTCAATAATTTAAGAATATATTTTGCATGAATATGATATTTCAGATTTATTAATGAATTCTAATTGGATGATTTTGTATTCGCTGTGGTGTATTTGTTGTATTTGTGTTGTATGCTATGTAATTTTCATGTATTTGTGTTATATGATATTTATTAATGAATTCATTTTGGATGATTTTGTATTCTGATATGTTTGTACTAATTATGCTTTGTGAGAGTCTTGTTGTATCAGTAAAGCAAACATACATATAAAATTTATACATTTTTTAACAAATACTTAATGTTATTTGAATGTTTTCAAAGTTACATTATTATCTAAATTGTTTTTATGTGATGTAGTTTCTAAGTTATATTACGTATACCTATTATATTTTTATGCTTGCCAAGTTGAATATTTTTTCTTACATATATCATTTACTCAGGGAACTGCATTTGCATGCAAAGATCCCAGTTTTTTGTATCCAAGCAACAAATGTATGTATTCACAATAGTACTTGCATCGTGTTATGAACAAAATTGTATCCAAGTAACAAATGTATGAATTCATAATAGTATTTGCATCATGTTATGAACAAAACTATATTTTTCATATTTCAATGTAGTCTGCCAACATATATGTATACTAAATAAATATAGAAATTGTATTCAGAATAATCACTTACAAAATACATTAAATTGATCATATCTATTTCAATAAGGGTTACAACATATTTAAATAAACTGAAATAAGAAAAACTAAATAAATGAAATTGAAGATTGTCATAAATAATTGTATTTGCTCCTATTCGTATTCTGTTACTGATACAATTTATTTCAAAACATTAAAAACAAACATCCAATTAACAAAATCATGTCTTCAAACAAAACATAAACAACCAAAATAAAAAGTCAACAAATCAAATATTCATATGTTGTTCATAATTCTTAGAATTTACAACGAAAACAGAATATAGACGAAAATAAATTACGTTTTACAATTATTTTTGAAATTTCATATCAAAATTATAAGCAATTAGAAGAAAAAAAATGAAGCAGCAATTACCTTGTTAAATTTGTATTCAAACAATTTGATCGAACTTGTAGTAGAAAAATCTTTCTCCAAACATTGTTTATCAGGTTTGATCTAAAATTGTTCCTACCGAACAGAAACTAAAAAGAGGTTTCAATTGTATGAGAATCTTGAAAATCAAAGTTTGAAATAATTCATCAGCTATGGGGATGTCGATTGATTATTTTTTTTTGAATTTTTGTAACTGATGAAAGTTTTAGTCAATCATTTATCTTTAGTATTTTTCTCTCCCCTTGAGTAACATTTAATTCTCTCAATTAAAACAAATAAAAAATAAATAGATGAGATACATGATAAACTAAAACTTTGACATTTTTACCAAATAATGAAAGTATTGACAATGGATCTTATTAAATGTCAAAATATTAACATTTTGAAAAATTTCCCTTTTTAATTAGTCAAATTGTGTAAAATGTGGTTTACTTATGCGAAGTGATAACTCAACTTTTTACTTTACCATCAAATTATATTAATATAGAATGAGTCATAATATATTATTACTTTTTAGAGGTATTATTTAATTGTAAATTAATTTTTATTAATTTTAAAAGTGTTTTAACACTGCAAAATTCATAAAGAGGATGAAATCTTAGAGAATTAAAATGAATCAACTTGGGAAAACATTATTTGTAAATTTAAGGTCATGGTTAATGATCTTGGTTACTACAATAAAATACACATTAATAACATGTTGGATTATTCGGGTGAAAATGATATGTTCAGAGGCCTAGAGCTTAGAAGAAACTGTGGATACCATCAGATAAATAAATGTTGATGATAAAATTGAAGATACATTTGGAACAAGTTGCATGTAAGAAGCACTAATAACATCTAAAACTCTTCACAATTTCATGGTATGGTTTGAAAAGACAATACAAGAAATTTTGGGTGCATTAAGAAAAGTTAGAAATGAGTTTCAACCAGATTTAAATTTTAACAAAAAAAGAATCATTCACTAAATTGTCTTAGATAAATTTGTACTTGTAAAAAATATAATTTATATATTAATAGGACCATATATTTGTATAGAGTTTTTTTAAAAAATATTATATGTCATTATCTTATCGAAATGAGTGATTATTTTCATTGCCCCGAGTCGAAATCGGAGAAAATATTATCTTAGAGAAATTATTAAATCAATCGAGTATCAATCTAGTGAGATCTTGTGTAGCTCAATTTTCAAAATTATCAAAGTTGACCAAATATGTTCTTCCTCCTTTCAATTCGGCTATCAATGGCTTCTTCTTACTACTTTCAATTTTGCCATTAATGATTTAGTACGGCTTTTCTTCGTGTTTTTTTTGTCATTCTTCGTCTTCGTCATTCTTCTTCGTCTTCTCGTCGGTGTTCTTCTTTTTGTGCATCATCGATCTTCTTTGTCCTCTCTTTTTTAAAAAATAATAGTAAGTTTAACATATCAAAAGTTTAAGTTATTCCCGCGAATTAAATATTAAAAGATTTGAAACATCGCGAAGATTTCTCATCTAAATTTTGGAATGATTTAGAGACAATTTTAAGGTAATCGAAATTAAATCATTATTTTATACTTCATGCATATAGATGTATCACAATGTATATACAGCTAATGTATAGGAAAGCACAAATATTTTTTGGTAACAAATGTAAATATAACCATTAACAACCAAATCAATACATCTAAAGAGCATTTAACTTTACAACTACCTTCAAAGAAGGACTGTTTGAGTTAAACATCCAACATATCTCTAATTACATTGTAAAATGTTGAAATAACAAACCCACATTTTTTGCCTTTTCTAGTTTTTCTAACTCTATCTAATCTAACACTAAAACTTAGCTTTATTTGTGTGATTGTAGTTTCCATAGTGACAACAATTTCCCTGTGCAGTTTTCAATTCCTTACCTTCCACACATGATATACTATTGAACTCCAAAGTGCTGCAATTATTTTCTTATTAATTTGCTTCCAATGCCTCCTTCTGATTCGATTCAACACATGTTTGACATTCCCCGATGAAAACTGCACTCCAACCCATTATTCATTGTTGTAATGAGTCCTTTAGTCCATTTACATTCAGAGAAAGGTGATGTTGTGTCTCTATAGCGTGGTCATCACACAAGCTGCATATTATATCATCTACTGTTATATTCATCCTTTGTAGTTTATCTTTTGTCAACAATCTACCATGTACAACTAACCATATTATAAATCCGTGCCTTGGTTAAGAGATCTTGTTCCATATCAGGTCTGATATCCTCATCGTACTCTGTACACCTATCAATAATGCATAACTAGCTCTTATTGAGTAATTCCAGTTGATGTTAAGACATAAGATCCTTGAGAGTACCACTCCAACATATCAGGCTTCAGTGCATTCAACTTTCTCCAGTACCAACTGCTATCTTGCGGTGGTGTGTGCTCCCAGATATCCTGGTTATCCTTCATATACTCCCCATGTACCCACTTGAACCATAATACATCCTTATTGACTATTAATTGTCATAAAAGTTTTTCTATCGACGCCACATTCCACAGATTGCTCCCCTTAATATTTAGTCCACCAAACTTCTTAGGCACACTCACTTTGTCCCAAGATACTAATGGTGTCTTCCTCTTATCCTCCGTACTGCCCCACAGGTATTCTCTGCATTTTTTATCAACTTCTTTTAATACTTTTTGTGGTAGAATAAACGCAGAAGCCCAAAAGCTGTGAATAGCAAATAATACTAATATTATCACCTTTA